CGGTGTCGGTGTAAATTGCACCCCCATCTCCACGGGCATCAGGCCCTTACCTGGCTGCGGTGCAGTGCTGCAGCTTGTGTACTCTGGCAGCTGGTACACAGGGGGCTGTAACCCCAGTGCCTGTGACTGATTCAGCTAGAGTAGGACCTGCCTGTGGCCCTCTGAGCCTCGGTCTGCGTGTATCTGCAGAAAACCAAACAGCCTTGTGAGACAGCCGGGCTTGCGGCTTGTATATCGGCCAACTGAGACAGCGTTACAGTAACAGCCCCGGGTGCAAACGCCCAAGGCACACAGCCCAGGTGCTGGTTTCTGCTAGCTCTTTGCCTTCCCGGCCGGAAGGGTGAGCTGCTCTGTCGTAAAACGTTAGCTCGCTGCAAGCCAGCTTTCCCGTGCTGTCCTTGTGCACAGCCTGTAGGCCAGGCCCTCAGATCCAGTCCCTGCAGCGAGGGCCTGGCTCCATAGAAAGGCCAAAGGTGGGGCTGTCTGAGAAGAGATTTGACTGGGCAGAAGGTCCCCTCGGGAGGAAGCTGTTGCTTTGTGCCCAGCACCTCCTGTTTCCCCCACATACACTAGGCCAACCAGGGCCCAGCCAAAGCCTCACCCAAAGTCTCTGGCAGGGTGCCGGTGTGTGCAGAGGCCAGGTCTCCAGTGGGCGAGCCCCTTGGCCCAGGAAGGGGTCTCTGAATACTAAGTGCCTCTGGCGTTCTCTTCACCTAACTGAGCGCCTCGGGGGGCTGCTCCTACAGGGGTTCTGGTGGCTCAGGCAGCTGTGGGGAGAGCCACAGGGGCAGACCTGGTGCATGGGCTCTTCCAGCCTCCACCCCAGGTCGTGGGGTAGGGGGCATGCTGGCAGGGCCGCTCCAGGCTGGCGTCCCACGCCCTGTACTGGTTTCTTTGGGCCATATCCTCCCAGCTGTGTGTGACAGGAGCCTCCTGGCTGCCTCACTCCTCTGACCTGCGGGCCGGTGTAGAACGGTGGCCGAGCTGCCTTGGGTTCCCGGATCTCACGGGGTCCATGTGGGTGCAGCAGAGGGGTCAAAGTGCAGTGACTGGCGCCTGGCTTTGCCTTGCTGGGAGCAGGCTCCTGTCGGCGTGCTGCACCAGAATGCCGCCCGGGCCTGGCAATGCAACGTGCCCAAGGATAAGCCCAGGTCTGGCTGTGTAACATGCTGCCTGGCTTGGGACAGGCTGAAAGCTTGGTCTTGGTTTGAGCTGATGTGCTGTGTGCTCCTCCCCAAACAGCTGGAGGAAGAGGAACAGGAGGACAAGTTCGATCTGACTGTGGGAGTGAGTGACCCAGAAAAAATTGGTGAGTGTCCCCTGGACAGCGATGGCTGTGGCGTGTAAAGAGGAGCATAGCAGGGTGTAACGCATGAAGGTGTGGATGGGCTGCAAGTTGGTCTTGGTTTGAGCTGATGTGCTGTGTGCTCCTCCCCAAACAGCTGGAGGAAGAGGAACAGGAGGACAAGTTCGATCTGACTGTGGGAGTGAGTGACCCAGAAAAAATTGGTGAGTGTCCCCTGGACAGCGATGGCTGTGGCGTGTAAAGAGGAGCATAGCAGGGTGTAACGCATGAAGGTGTGGATGGGCTGCAAGTCCCCGGTGGCTGCTCTGGCCCCCTGCCAGCTTGTGCTTCCAGTAAATGGACTGCCCTCGACGGCCGGCCTGGCCCAGCGGCAGCACGTTTCCTAGCTGCCTTGTAAGGAGGCTCCTGCCTGGCTTCCGAGATCGGCGCTCTTAGCTAGAGACTGGTCGTTGAGGGATCGTAGGGGCTAGAATGCCAAGTAGTGATGGCGGCGTCTGTAGGACCCACCTTGTACCCACGCGTGGCCTGAGAACCAGCATGAAGCCTGACAGCACCGCGCTCTCACCAGCCCCGGGGCTTCCTGCACTCGTGGCTTTTTGTTCTGGAGGC